ATTCCACTACTAGCTAATACCTTTACGGGACTCACTACTACCATACTACGGGTACTACTTGAAACCTCCATCCATCCATCATTTTCTACCCTTTAATCCCATTTCTGAAGCCCCATTATAAGTCAATGGGAAAAAAGGACACAACAGACAGCAGTGGGGAGTCGGTGGAGAAGGTGCAGAGGTGGGAATTGAACCCACGACCTTCTGGCCTTAAGGCCAATGCTCTACCAACTGAGCTACTGTCGCCGCTTTGAAACCTGTTATGCGGCAAAGTATTGAGACATGAGCCCAAACTGTCAGTGGGCTCGCATTGCCACACACCCGACTTGTACCTCCTGTTTGTTTCAATGGAAATGCACCTTTATCTGTAATTTTTGAGAATGTGTCAGAATATGGTTGTAATGTTAAAGGTTTTTGGGAAGGTCTATTTATGAGATAAGATAAAAAAAAAAAATTGATCTCACAGTGGAGTAATGTACAATATAGTAGAGCTATTGCAGTTCTCACTTGGCATCTACTCCAAACACGGTGGGGATGAACTGTACGTTTGTAGCCACAGCTGTCCTGAGGCAATCAGTCTGTGCCAGCGCCTCCTTCTCCCTCCACCACCAACACACACTCACCCAGACTCACAGTGGGTAATGTGGGGGAAGTGTCTTGCCTATAATGACACAATGCTGTTTTATGCCAAAGCGGGAGGGATAGTGATGATCCGGGACATTTATCAACATTTATGGACAGTGGTCATCCCGCTTCCTATGGACCCATGTGTTATTATTTTTTATTCAAGTGGTACGTTGTATTTACATTTTTGCACTGGTTTGGCATGCATCACACTTTGCTTTTTGTCCCCTTTTTGTTCCCCACATCCCCTTTTCCCTTGTGATGGGCAGAGAAGCTAAAAAACAAAACAATTATAAAAAAAAAGTAAAAAATAAATAAATAATAATAATAATAATAATGATAATAAATAGAAATATTGCATTTCCAGAGGTTGAACAGTTTGCTTCTCAGATCTATTGTTGGCGAATCAACAACTTTGTAAAGTGCTACGAGACGACTTCTGTTGTGATTTAGAGCTAAACAAAAATACATTGAATTGAAAGAAAGCAGAGGCGCCCGGGAGGTCTCCCATCACAGAATTAACCAACTTGTCCATTGAGATAGGCTTTCACAAACAGGTGGAGCTAGATGTATCTTTTGTATGTCCAAAAGTTACACAATTTTCGTTCAAGAAGTGATACACACAAGACATAGTCGACTGTCAGGCACAAATACTTTGACTCTTGATTATATATGTATCGCTACTATTAGATCTGATCAGTAATAGACATTTTAAGCCCTCTTCTAGCAGCGTGGGTCTGCATGCTCCAGCGCGTAAAGAGCGTAGAGACCCGGGGCATGGAAAGACAGAGGCATCACTCACTGTACAGGACTGTGGGGGTGTGGGGGGAGAGAGAGAAAGGGAGAGAGGAAAAGGGGGGGGGGGGGGGGGTACTGCGTGAGGGAGGGGCAACACGATCAACTTGTCTACGATTTCACTGCTGGGAAGCTTTAAAAAGGGCAGCAGCAGCAGCAGAAGCAGCCAGCAGACAGTCAACGAGAGGAGAGAGAGCAAGAGAGAGAGCCACCAGGCCCAGGGCGGGTTACTTTTACGCACGCCACACGCCTCCGTATGGATCTCGGCGAGCTTTCCCACCGGGCCACACTGTCGTACAAGGCCGCCTGGACTTTTTACGCACACGGGGAACAGTGATTTTGGAACCGCAGCCGAGGTGTTTATACCGTGCGGTAATATCTGGAACAGGCGGGCGTCCTAATTGATCCTCACGCAAAAAAAAAAAAAAATACAGCAAAAGCGAGGAGGGAAAGAACGCGACTTTTCCCAGGGACTTAAAACTAAGGAAAAAATGGAAGTGGCCTGGTTGGATTTGACGCTGTTTTTAGCCATGCTGAAGATCCCCGGAGCGGCAACACCTGTCCACACGTAAGTCAACTATTGGATGTGCTTTATGCGTCTTGGAGAGGTGCAGGGCTACCTACATATTTTTTTTACGCAGAAGGAAAAGCGTCTCATGAAAAGTTTGTGCAGACATGGTTGAAATATTGATGTTCCATAGAGTAAAGAAGGCACATTAAGGCTCGTGTTGTGTAGCAAAATGAAATAGGCTAAACCAGATGAAAAGGGGTTCTGCATCAAGATCTCTAAAGTCAGTCAGAATTGGTTGTCCACGCGTTTCTTTTATTTGTTGGAATCCAATACAAAGTACGAAGTGAAATGTTTAATCAGTATGAGCAATTTGGCGTTTATTTTAGCAATAATGAGATCTAATTTTCAAATGTATTTTATTTTAATTGGAGATATTTTTTGGCTGCCTAAAGATAATTTGGACGTTATTTATTCATTATTGATAATTAAAAAAAAAAAAAAAAAGCTACGTATACAGCCTCATGTGTGGCCCCCCTGTTATCTTTTCTATCATTTTGTCTTTAAATAAGGCAATATGGTGTTACTGAGAGAGAGAGACTGTAGTCGGAGAATAGACTATAAATGCTTAAAGATAAAAAAAAAAACACAACAAAACAATGTAATAGCTGGAATGAGAAATAACAAAATAAAAGAAATAAAAAACATAGATACAGTTTGAGGTGTATGTTCGGTAAACAAGGGATTTCCATAAAACACACAACTTTAAATGGGCTTTTTTGGACTTCTGTCTTTGTTAACATAAATAATAATACAACATTACAGTGACTATATATGGTATCACAATATTAATATAGATCAACATTTGCCTCACAGAATGCCACATTTTGTCCATGTGATATTTATTTCATTTTCAATACTTTCACAAATGTGCAGTTTCCAGTTTTTGTATCAATCGGCCTTAGTCAATACTTTTGACACTAGATTCTCTTACAAAACGTAATTCACACTTTAGAATATAACTTCTCTCCATTACTAACCCCACACATATATATAGCACAGAAACTATTCCACTTTACCCAATCCCCATATTTAAATCTGGAATACCTTACTTTTTTGGTGTCATAAATATATTTTGTTTGATTTTTTCCCCCAACAGAAAAAGTCATGTTTAAGTAACATTTATTTTAAAAAAATCAGACCACTGCATGCTGGCTTTATCTGATTAGGAAATATTGTACCTTTAACATACTGATTGCTGATTGGCTGAGTGAGGGCTGGCACATTTTTATTTATTTTTTTGACTGAAAAGCTGATCCAAGGATGAGACAAAGACTAAAAATACAAGTATGTCAAAAATACTGAAAGAACCAAACTAGTCAAATGGATTTTAAGACATTGCTTTTTTGTGTGTGTGATTTCAAACTCAGCTTCTCCAACTTTTACAATTATTCCCTTACTGTAACCCCCCCCCCCCCCCCCCCACACACCCCTCGCCATGGCATACCCCAGCCCGTTATCTCCCTTGACAGGCCCCTGTTATGGATGTCCCGCAGCAGGGCCGGAGGAAGCTCCCGCCGGGCTCGATTTCAACAAGTCCCTCCATAATTCCTTTAACACATGCGTTTACTATGACATCAGGAGAGCGTTAACCTGCATAAATCACAAGTTAAGTAGTTGGATTAGGTTTTACAGCGATCTCGGGGCCTCTGCTCGCCAGTAAAGGTGCACGCAGTAGTGGATTGGCCCCTAGCAGACAGATCAGAAAGGCCCCACGCTGTTTACAACCCCAGCTAATTGCTCATTACACTTTATTTACTGCTGTAATGGATTGAGCGTCTTGTGCAGCGGTGATTTGGACTTGGCGTCTGTACTGGGGTATATAGAGCAAGCAAAATGCCAACATTGTTGATTGTAAAAATGGGTTTTAGCCCAAAGAAGGAAACGGTTCTAAAGTACGTTTCGACACATGGTGGAAAAAATTTAAGTTATGCAATGTTTTGGTGCGAGATCTTGGAATATGGGTTTGTATTTTGGGAAACGCGTCGGCGATACATGTAAAATAGGCTTGCCTCGATTCTGAAAATTTGGAATAGTTTCTGTCATCCTTCCTGGCAAATGATTAACATGGCTTTCCTCTTAAACGTTTTCATTTGGTGCGTGTGTAAGTAGGGGCACTTAGCTTCCAAACTACACACAATTTGACAAAAAATCCAGCTCCAGCTCTCACTAGTTTTCACATGAATATCATTTTGGAGTGAAAAATGGAGGACCAGAGAGGACCAAGCCAATTATGTATGACTTGGTCCTCTCTATTCTCACAATATGAAGATATCTAGTCTGATTTTATTATTTGTTTATTTTATTACAGAGTTCTATATTATGTTTCTGGTTTGAACATTAGGTACCCAAGGTTTTCAATAATTTTGTCAATGTTATCACACTAAAGAAGAAAACAATACCTGTATTCTTTGTGCTACAACGCCAATAATGATAAAATATGAGGTAATAATAGCTTGAATCAAGTATTTTTTTGTATAGAAATTTGAGCACATTCTGACTTTCTTAAAACAAGATTGGCTAATGGAACAAAGCACTTTTAGTCTTCCTTTTTTTGCTTTATTTTCTCATTCCAAGAGAGACAAGATAATTTTGCTTGTCCTATTGGCAAATCTTGTTTTAAGGAAGTCAGAATGTGCTCAAATTAAAATCAATTTTGACAAATTTTAGACATTTTGGACCTATTTTTCAACACTTTTTGCAGTGTACCTCAGCTCCCTTTGGCTCTAATATTTCTTGAACTCTCCACTATGCAATCACGTCTTAATCCCAAACATTATTAATATGAACTGTTCTTTTCGATCTAATACAGTTGCTTTGACATTCCTAAAATCCCCCAAAAAATGTCTCCAATTCAAAATCTCATCTCAAAGTTATCATTATTACTACATGGCATCTAGACTCTACCCAAAACCCTTTTCATAATCCTTGCGTGGAGAGGTAGAATTTGTCCACGTCAACGGAAAAACTCCTCCAACAATGAGCGTGATTGCCCTGGCAGCACATCCACTCTTACAGTCATCCACATGTTGACATAATCCTACATTCTGGGTAATCTGCGCTCAGCCAGCCCTGCCCAAAAGCCTTCATATTCAGCCCGTTTCGCATGGGCACGCACCGTTGGCTCTGACGTCAAACATACCTGTACTTTACTTCACACACACAGGAGCGATTTTACTTGCAAAGAAAAAAAAGTTGATTTGGCCCTTGCATGATTGTGAGAATATTACAGTGACTTTGGCCTTTCATGTTTGAGAATGTGAAATAATGTAGGTGACTGTAAGACTGCAAAAAGTGGTGAAAGATACGTTAAAGAATTGCTAAAATTTGGCTAAATTGATGATGATATTATGAGTGCATTTTGACTGCCTTAAAATAACATTTGCCAAAAATGATCTTTCTTTAAAAAGATACAACAAATGTCTCCGTTGGAATGAGAAAATAAAGTAACAACTCTTGAAATGAGACTAAATATCTTTGTCCCATTCTTCAGAATCTACTCAAAGTAAGATAAAAACCACTCTGATCATTTTTTGCAGTGAATATGTATGAATGGTGTAAGACAGTGGTTGCCCAGTGGACTTCCTCAGCAGCACAGTCTGTTGTTTCATATACCGTCACAGCTGTTATTTAGCTAAACAAAATGAGTTCATGTCAGAATGAACCAAAACTGGACCAACATTAAGAAAAGCTTGTTATTGCGCACTGAAAAAACAATTGTTATTATTATGAATGGTGTTTCCCTATAAGTACCACTTCTAGCCAACTTCTCGAGGTCCGTATACCTCCAGTTGGGAAACGCTTGTGTACGAGATTAGACTAGATCACTAGAATAATGAAAAGTCCATCTAGTGGTAGAGACGGGAAACTACATTATCCTTTTACGATGAACTGTCAATGGCCCACTCTCCAGTAACAGAGTTCAAGCTACTTCAACAAAAATAACATTTGTTAGCTAAAATCAGAGGAGAGAGAACCAAGGAGCCGAGATTCCCAGTGTTTTGTTTTGACCTTTTTACAATAGAAGTTATTTAGAGTAACTGAATATTGTATTGAATATTGGTTTGGATTGGATATTATTTTTATGTTAAAAATATCAGTACAGTTTTGCTTGGATTGAACTAATACTGAACCAAAGAGAAGAATGTTTGTGATGCATTATTTATTATTTAAGTTTTGCTTTGTTACAAAAAACAAACAAATATTGTGGTTGTTTTCTAATATCTAAAATGAAGGCGGCACATATTAAAGGGGGCAGCATTCATTGGGCATTAACTCTCATTCATTTAAATAGTGGTAAATTCAGCAGCGAGCTTGGTTCTGGTCTCCTTGGAGGCTGGAGCTTTTCCCAAATGTAACATCAGACACACACCCAGACAGACATGCAGCAGTCGACTTAACTTTTCTTGTAAGAGTAGCTACCACTGGCTTCTCCAATGCATGTTCCTTGGCCTGGACATAAAGTATCAGGTGTAGTGGTTCTTTTGGCTCCCCCTCAGTTTTTTTTCGCGTTCCCTCCTCTCTGCAAGCGTCACTAATATTATTCTCCGTTCGCCTTCCACACTCGCTCTTGATATGTTCGATAGCTCTAAATGGTAATTCTCATGACGTCACTCGTGCAATCGTTCAACCATCATGTGATTTCCCATTGAAATTAATGAGCGGGCCTAAAAAGATATCTCATAAAAGATAAAGTTGCACAGAATTTGGTAACCCGATTTTTTGTGACTCTGAGGCAAGAATGATGTCTTCAAAGGCAGAAAACAGCTGTGTCCATGAGGTGAAGTCAAAGGATTTGTCGAAGCCTATATTCTTGTAAAACTAATCTTTAGGCGAGAGAAGTGATAAACTTTAGCCTAAACACTGCAGTTTCTATAATAGTTATTGAATGTGTCGTTGTTTGTGTATGTACTTCAAACTTGTGAACTATTTCAGGTCTAATAAGCAAATAAAGATGGCGCCATGGCAAGAGCTCTGGTGTGTGTCGTCTGGTGCACACTGGGGTAGTCTTGCACAGTTTTTCCTATGTGGTTTTACTGCAAATGGCAAATAAATGAGTCTGAATCTGATGATTATCATTATGCTCCTACACCTTGAAAAAAAAAAAAATAAGGAAAATATATATTGCTTTTGTCAAGGAGCGAACATTAATGGGTTAATCCTGTGCAAGACCATATCACTTCATCACAAAAACAATGCCATTACATTTGTCTACACACACATTCAACATGTAAACGGATACAAGCTCCCTCTTCAGGTGATTCTACACGGCTCATTGTCACTCAGCGTTGCGTGACTTCTTCCACTTGCGTTGCACATGCAGGATCCATTGTGGGAGGATAGTGGGGCTTTGTGCTCCGTTCAACAGACATCGATGACAGCACAAGAATAGGGAAGGCTTACGCTCAAACGTGTGTGTCAAAACATCAGGGAGAAAGGCTGCACACAAAGAGGGGACGTGGGATACACTGCACACCACCGGATGCAGCCAGTTACAGACCTGACTTGGCTTTTGCACCTGGGTTTGAGCTTACTGTGCCAATTTGACGGTTTTGTAAATTCCTCCGCGATAACTACTGTTGTGATTAAGGTTTATACACAAATAGATTGAATTGAATTGAATAGAAGCTGAGGCCCCTCACCATTGGTCTTACCATTTTCCTTCAGGTGGATTATTTTTCCAAAGTAATATATTTAAAATCGTCCCTTATCTTGGGATAAAACACGACCAGTGACATTTGCTGGAGATGAATAGTTACAACCAATGGCAAGGATTTAAATTTGTATCGTCCAATCAGGAGCTGTGACGGTGAGCATGGGCGGGTCTAACTGACAATTTTTCTTTCCCTCTTCACAATTTAGACATTCACTTTAATCTAACTATTAATTGTAGCTCCAACCCGCCATTCCCTATTGGGCCTGTATGTTGTGTGTGTGTGTGTGTTGTTTTGTCTCTCTTATACCATCTGTGGTAGGTTATTACTGTATGTACTGTATAGTTATGTGTATTCTAAATTGTACTGCATGAGATTCTTATTGCATTCTAGTGTGTGGCCTGTGTGATGAGGAAGGGATCAAGTAGTATTTCCTTCATCCAACCTCTTTTCAAACCACTTTTTATTTGTGTTAAATTGATGTGTGTGAAGATATGTGTTGAGCTGGTTTGAAATAAATAATGTAATATTAATAATAATAAAATAGATATAATGATAATAATGACGTCCAAACCCTGTCAGTGTCAGTGTCAGTCCTCCCCCATGTCCAAAAATGCTCTGTTTTCAAATTTGGTCAATATGAGACAAATTCTCAGACAGTGATGTCATGTAGCAGGTTGTTGTCTGCCTTTTAAACAAAAGTATATGTTTAAAAGGCAAAGTGATTTAACAGGCTCCCTCCTGTCAAATCACTCTCACTTAGACCGTGCCATGTTAGATTCTACCAGAATTGCTCATTAGACCCATATCACATCATATATGTGTAAACTTTAAGGGCCTAAACACACACACTGCATGAAAATGGTTATTTTCTGTATTTAAAAAAAATATTTTAAACATGAGGGAAAGTTTATTTATTATTTTTATACTGTCATGAAGCAAACTCTCTGTTCATCAAACAATCTAAAGCTACAGAAAAAAACAAGAATCAAGTGCTTTTTTGGTGCGGTGTTGCTCAGAATGGGTCGTTTCCGGCTCGGCTTTAGAAGGCTCTTGATCTCCCTCGGATGACCACATGGTCTTATTAACGAGAATGTGTTTGCTTTGTACTTTTTATGAGACACATTGAGATTTTATCACTGCTTTTCAGACAAAGAGACTGTGTCCAGCAGAGCACTGGATGTAACCGCACACCACAGAGCAATATAAGCCTCTGTAATAGTTTATATTTGAAGTCACTTTTCTCCTTGTCGGCTGCTCTACAAGCATGTCAGGGGTGTCCAAACTTTATAGACATTGTTTTGTGTCCTTGCACCAATGAGACTGTGCAGTACTATGGTATATTCTTGTGTTGTAATTGTGTGTAGACCATTGTCCAAATTTCCCTGAAAGGGACAATAAAGTGGAAACATTAACTTTTTGAAAAGAATATTGACTAGACATACACATTATTACCCATTGATACAATTACTGTATATTATTTTAAGACTCAACCAAAGTCATGTCAAAGGTAGTTATGAATGTATCTGTCACTGGAGTAAACTCATGATTTGAAGTGACTAGACATGCAGTTATGTTTGCAAAGTTTATTATTTAGTATTATCTAGTAATATTTAGTAATATGAACAATCATATTAATATGATTTGGTTGAATTAGGCTTAATGTATGAGAAAGTGCTTGTCTTTGTGGGAATATTAATATGAGAAGAATTGGAATCAGCAATATGACATTTTGCTCAAGTTAAAGGTATACAGGAGGATTTTCTACTTCCAGGTGGATCATCAAGACTATTGGTCTTCCCATTTGTCAATCATTCTGGTTATACAAGCTCGTCAAATAAGACTGAGAGTTTTGTTCAAAAAGTGGAGGGGGGCAGTTCTTACCTAAAGTTTGGGAAAATCCTCCTATACCTTTAAGCAAACCTGAACTATTTATTTGTAGAGACATTTTAGTTAAACCGAACCGACATAACATTGGCTAACGGCTCCATATGGTTGTATGGTGCAAAGTGCTCTCTCACCACATCACATCATTTCACATGTCAATTTCCTCCAGTTGGAATACTTACTCTTCCACAGACATAACACTGTCAGTCCTGTAACGAGCTGTGGATTTCCTCCGTGTGGCGACGAGGCGGCCGCCGCTTCTCCAAACAGACCGTGTGTCGTTGCTCATTCATCACAGAAGGGGACAATAAACACGTGTAATTGAGCTTCGGTGCGCTCTGCAGACCGCTGGCTCCTTCTGCGCAACAATAAACTCAGCTTGTTATTCAGGGGGATCAGCGCATAAGCAGCTAATCCAGGTCTGCTTGAGTTAGGCCTACGAAGTGATGAGACATACCATCAGAGAGGCTCCTACTGCGGAAGAGCATCAGGAGTCTCATGTCACGGCCTTATAGGGCTGTAGGATAAATATCTAATGCATTTTTCAGACAGATATTGTAATTCTGGTTATATTTGTGATACATTGTGTTTTACCAGGATTTTCTACACCTCAGACCAGTGTTTGATCCAGGTTGTTGTGGAAAGAGTAGGGGAGGGGTTTTATCTGTGGTGTTGACTTCTCACCCCAAAAAAAAAAAAAACGGTCAAAACTTAAAGGTATATGGGAGGATTTTCTACTTCCGGGTGGATCTTCTAAACTATTGGTCCTCCTAATTGTCAATCATTCTGGTGATATGCGAGACACGTTTTATTAGGCGGTTCTTTCCTAAAATTCAGGAATATCCTCCTTATTCTATACCTTTAAAACTTTCAAAGTAAGTCAGTGCACCCAGGATCCCAAGGGATTATAATGGACTGACAACCTTTTCCTCCACATGGATGGTGTGTTCTAAAACATTCTTCACCTGACCCACATGAAAGCAACAGGATATAAAATAGAGGCATGTGTCTTTGTTTTTGCTGTAATTGGTCATTGTGTTCATTGGGTTGAAAGGTGAGGTTTTCTGACCCCACTCGGTCAGTGTGTGAGGAAGAGGCCTTCTGGGGTTTTTGGACAAAAAACAAACCCTTGTTTTGATCAAATGGCTGAAATATGAGCAGATAAAACACAATCCTATACAAAAATTTCATTTTTTTGTGATTATTATTGCAGCTGTTGTGCCCTATCGTCCTCTCCTCTTAAGTCTGTGCAACTTTCTGTGTCTATGATCATATTTATGGTAATTTTATTGGTATGCAAGTCTTTATAACTCCAGTTTAGTGTGTTTAAAACGCTTTAGATACAGGAGCTATAGGACTAGAGAACTTCTTTGTAGCAGCTGAGTCCTTTACGCTAATGCAAGTGTTCATTACTGTGCGCACCACGCTGCACTGCACTATTGTATAATAATGGGCAACAAATGAGTTTGCTTTTACAGCAGCTGCTCTTGTATTCACTGTGACTAACCGCAAAACTGTATATTATGCTTTTATTGCTCTCATATCAGGTTCACTTTGTTTGTATTGTTTGCCTTCTGAATCACACAGGGCCGCAGAATATGGCAGGCCATAAATTTTATGTTAGAGCTGTAAATCGTTTTAAACTGACAGCCAACATGATTGTGCTATTAATACTGTATTATCTATGATCGGGAGGCCTTACATGGATCTGCTCTGTAAATGTCACAGAAGCCTGAGGAAGCCTCAGACATGAATGTACTGAATGTGATATGGTCAGAAGTTTATTGTAAGTCAGACTATCTACACATCAGGATGTTCAAGCGCTCAAAGGCATGTGTTTTTGTGCGCTGGTATTATAGCAGTGGAGGAATACGCTTCCCAAACACAAATGGGTCAGATGCATCTTTAAGAAGAAAAAGGATCCGAGCATGTGATTGAAATGTTTGGATGAAGAAGGAACAGAGAGGAGTGTGTGTCTTCAGTTACATGGCATCTCTCCTGCAGGCTGTAATCATCAGAGGTCATGAACCATGTTGTGGTGGAGGATGGCAGTGTAGCAGTTGTTAAACCTTAGTGACATGTTCGTCTCTGTGTGTCCAGATGTGGCCTCCATCTATCCCCAAGACCCTGTCCTGCGCATGGGCTCCAACCTGACGGCCAGCTGCTGGGTGCACCCTGACCTGGGGGTGCATGCCAGCTCTCTGTTCTGGACCCTGAACGGCCAGCCGCTGGCCAGCTCTCTGTACAAAGTACTGAGCCCCAACAACCTCAGCGTGATGCTGGTAGGACTCAACGCTTCCAGACAAAAGTCTGGTGACAACCTGGTGTGTCACAACCACAAGGGCCACATCCTGGCCGGCTCCTGCCTCTACGTCGGCAGTAAGTCTAGTGTGACAAGAGCATGTGTGTGACTGCTGCATGGCTCTGCTAAACTGTAGACCGTCAGAATGGTCTGGATGCTGAAACAGAGAGACTGTGCTCAGCCTGTTGCTAGAGTAGAGTTGTTGTGGTGAAGCAGGTCACTGTGGCTGAGTGGTTAGCACTAGTTAGCGCTCTCGTTTCTCAGCAAGAATGTCTGAGTTCGAATCCCTGTTGGAACAGCGTCTTTCTGAGTGGAGTTTTCCATGTTCTCCGACCACTAAAAACATGTAAAATAGGCAAAGTCCTCCAACTCTGGTCCTCACCAAGCCGAGCATCAATATCTGGACATGGGCCCTAGTGGCATTGATGGATCGGGTCAAATGCCGAAGACAAATTTCCTTGCCGGGACAATAAAGTATAACTTTAACTACACTGGGGTGGGCTGATATGCAGTTCAGTCTGTGCCCTCAGATCTGTGAGGGGCCTCTTGCTGTGACACTCTGACCACCTGTGTGGTCCATTACTTGCACTATCAGTCATCAACGAGGTGGCTGACATGTGCACACACCCACACTGTCTGTGCTCCGCCATATAGACACCATTGCATAAGGCATTCCTGTTCTTTTCAAAATGAGACATTACATTTTTCTTCATACAAGTCTGTCCCTTCCTATATTCTAACAGCATACATGTATTTCATGTGATGTGGCTTGACCTGGGAAGCTATTGTTGGTTACTTTGCACTTGTGTGGCCTCGGAGGGCACCACACACAGTGTTCCCATAAAGAAGGCTCAGTGCACAGAGGTACATGTAATAGCTGGTGTTTGGAAGTCTGTGTTCTCACAGACAATCAGTGCTGGCGGGGGCCACTGCCACAGGCACAAAGTGAGCTGTTGCTTCATCGTTTCCACATCTTTTGTCATACTTCTATAACTAACACTGTTACCCTTCTGGTAGCCCTTAAATGCTCTGCATACCTAGAATGCTTCAGACATATAGCTGAGCTGTGGACACAGCACTAAATCTTGTCTTCTTTTCTCTGTGCAGTGCCTCCACAGAAGCCAGTGGCTTTAAGCTGCTGGTCCAGGAACACCAAAGACCTGACCTGCAGCTGGGCCCCAGGGGGCAAAGGAGAGACCAACATCAACACACATTATACCCTCAAGTACAAGCGCAGGTATATCTTCATGTGCAATTATTGTTTTACTCTCTTCTCACCATTCTCTTCATCAAACTATGTGGAACATCTTCAAAGTGAACTGAATTGCAGCTGGACACAGCACAACATCTCAAATCATAGCCTGATTTCATTGGCAAACTGCTTCCAGAAACATCATGTTGAGAGCCAGAGGGTAAAGCCTATTGTTCATAGAAAGTTCAAATTCAGTAAAAAAAAAAAAAAACAGCTTTCCCCTTGGAATGTAGCTGGGAGTTGGTTTCCACATGAGCTGCAGTCAGTAGAAGGCTGACTCTGATGCCACCTGCTCTGTGTCCTCTGTGCAGGTGGTACGACGAGGAGAAGAAGTGTGAAGACTACAGTGTGGGCCAGCCCTACTCCTGTCGCATCACCAGAGACCTCTACCTGTTCACACCCTATGAGATCTGGGTGGAGGCCTCCAACCAGCTGGGCTGGGCTGTGTCTGATGTGCTCACTTTGGACATCCTAGACGTGGGTGAGTACGGGAAGTCACCTGTGACCTCTGTCTTGTGCAGTCTGTGTCTGCCTCAGGCTCAGGTTGGGCACAGCCAACAACAAAGACATGCCAGATTTACAACGCTAGAATTACCCACTCAAATGTGGCTGACTCTAAACAAAATAAACACTACTCTTTCAACCTAAACTGAACTGCATTAAAGTCTTAAATGGAAACGGCAGCGATCTATGACCCAAATCCGTCTTTTTCCTTTTAAAGCTTTGATTTTGAACGATGAAGCTGTCATACCAGCTTACAGAGGTTTTTGCACACAGAACAGTGAGAACTTATTTCTCTCTTCCTTAAATCCCTAAATCCCCAACATTTAGTCCAAACACACACGCGCGCACACTCACACACACACACACACACACACTGCAGGTGGACACACGCTAACAAAGCCTGAAGCCTCTGTTTCTGCAGTCGGAATGTTTCGGACTGTTCTTGGACCTAATCCCTCTCGCTCGCTCCTTGGCCCGCTCACACCCCGGGGCACTCTGGCTTTGAGACTTTAGGACCTGGAGCTGAAACAGCACAAGATGATAAGCTTGGAATATTTGACCCGGTTCTCTTGTTAACTGTCTCTTCTCAGACAGGCCATATAAAGTCTGTATGTCCATCAGGCAGCTCACAGCAGCCTCTCCTCTCTCTCCCACACACACGCATACACACACACACACACACACACACACACACACACACACACACACCTGTTCATACAGCCCCGAGGCAGGGCTGCTCCCTTCCCGATCGAGGATTGTTTTGGAGTCCCGTTGCCCGTTGCGTCCTTCTTTCACTGTTACCACAACAGGCCGTAAAAAGCCGGGCTCCGCAGCCACACCTGGGCAGGCTGAGTCACCCTCGCTCCAGCCGGAAACACCTCCAGCCTCGCATTCCACCTCCAGAGCGACGAGAGGCAACACGACGCTCTGCTGATACTCCGATGACACAACGAGAGCTCGCGTCATCTAACAACATCCAAACAACAGCCCCATAACATTTACAAGTGTGTGGGAGGCTGGCGTATAGTCCAAGGCCCTTCCCGTCATGCAGGGGTTGCCTCGGTGAATCATCCAGGCCCACGTGTATATACAGTATATACGCTTTTTTATTCTTGCTTATGTCACTAGAATGTTTTTACCTATGGTTTTGGTCTTCAGTCAAGTAATCTATTTATTGTTATGTTAAAGATTAAATATTATCTTAACTATATAGCACGGTACACTGCAAAATATGAGGTAAGAAATGTTTTTAATCAAGTGTTTTGAGTGTTCTTACAAGATTTGCCAATGGGAAAATTCATTAAATCTTTTTTTCTCAAATGTCCTAACATTTTTCCTCATTCCAAGGGAGATATTTCTTGTATCTTTTTAAAACGAGATAATTGTTTTAAATCTTTAGTTCCAATCTTTTTTTTAAGGCAGTCAAAATATTCTCAAATTAGGATGCATTTTGCTAAATTTGAGCAATTTGTGACTTATTTTTCATTACTTTTTGCAGTGTATAATTGAATATATTGGCATCTCATTTACCCACAAAGTGACACATCTCTGTACATGTCTTATCCGTCTTTATATTGAAATTAAAATTGCAAATCAATGCATTACATTTCTAGTTTATTAGTTGTTTGATGTTGAACAGCTGAGATTTATATTGTTCCAACTGCTAATAATGACTTGTAGGTTATAATTAACACACAAAATGATGTCTTCTTTAAAATATGGAAAAAGAAAACATTTAAAAATCACGCTGTTACCTCAATGCATCATTGGGATGTTGCCAATCCCATTTCCTTTAGAAAGGAACCATAAAAAATTGAAAATGTGAAGATACATTATATTTTTCCCTGCTATTTATTAATGAAATTTCAACAAGCACACAATGTGAAGCTTTGAAATTTAGTTTTGACTTGATTTATGGCATTGTCACAACACAAGACATAGCAGCAGATCACATTATTACTTAATTAGTGCCAAAAAAGCGTGTCCAAAACTCTTAAATCATCTGTGTATCTTTGAACCAAGTTAGTTTTTAGTTATTTAGGTATAAAACACATATTGTTGCATGGGGCACAGGCAGCACAGCAAAAGAATAAGTAAAAAAAAAGATTGAATTAGCAAATGTTTAAATGTCTTAAAACAAGATTTGCCAATGACACAAGCAGAAAATGCTCACATGTTTGAAGGCACATGCAAATTCCTTCAAAAAATTACTACCGTACTGGATTTTTTCTTCTCCTCTCATTGAAATTTTTTGCTTAAAAGTCATCAAAATATACTTTCAAGGTGCATTCCTCAACTGTCCTGGTCGCGACTCACTGTTTGTGAATATTTGTGAATACTATGTAATTGCTTGAAATGTTGCTCAGTTTGATTTAAAATATGTTAATTCCTCAAATATGGATTTGTTTAGTGCTTAAAAACCTTAATAGTACTTGATAGTTGTAGTAACTTGAGAAGACTTGCCTCTCCACAGATATCACTTGTACCTTAGCCGAGTGAAGTCACATCCTGGTTGCCAATGTGAAAAACAAAAAAACGTCTAGGAAAAAAACAAAACCCTTGATATTGACCTTATGTATAGTTTTTTGTTTTGTTTTTAAAGGAGCGGTATGTAAAAATCTGGCCAAAAGTGGCACTGCACTCTCCCTGACTCAGGTTGCCAGATATGTAGACAAATCCAGTTGGGACCATAATAGTTGAATAGACAAGAGTTTTATCAACAACAAATCTATAACCAACACCTTCTTCACAAAGGCCCCGATAGAAATCCTCGTTTTATTTCTTGTTTTGTTATTAATGATTTGAGAATCATAACAAGACTTTTTTTTTGTTCTGTGGCCACATGTTACTTTACCAGTAAGATTAGCTGGTAGTTCTGGCAACCCGGATCACGGACTTTCTGATTGGTAAAACAGTGGAGGGCGGGACATCGAAATGAAAACAATAACAAGATTTAGGACCTGTAAAACTAATTTTGAAATTCAAATATCTCGGCTGCACTACAGTTATCAGTTAAAGAAGTATTGGAAAAGAGTATGGTTAATTAGTCTTTTGATGTATTAGGGCCATTTAATGATGACTTGACATGAAAATCTTGCATATTGCTACTTTAAATCTTGAACTTGTAACCTGTGGTTTTATGAAAAAAAAAGAAAAAAATGTTGATAAACCCAGGACAGCTGTAATCCAGATTTAAAAACGACATAATTCAAGCTTTTACTGCTTTATATCTAAAACAATTTGCAAGTCGGACCTCATGATATTTACTTTGGTTCAGAGTGAGTTTCTTTGAGCTCCTGACATCCTCCCACAAAGATCATCCTCCAGCTTTAGACGCCACACTGAAAAATGGATCGTGAACCCAAACAAACATAATAAATAAAAACATACAACAATTACAGTAACCCCTGGCATCCCTCTGAAATGGTGACATCACAACGTCTCGGCGTGAGCAGGCGCTACAGGGCTTTGGCGGCCCCCCTCTCCCCCTCCCCCTCCTCAGGCAGGCTCCCGGGACAGGGCTCCATGGTGACGGCCACGCCTATCCCGCTGCGCGCCATCGGCATGCGTGTGACCGCCGTCCACACGTCGCGCTCCGGACAGTAGCACTCCACGCTGGACAGGAAGCCGTGCTGGTTGAAGCCACCTGTGATTGGACAACAACAATTCAACGACATTATTTCCATTTATCATCTGCCCGTTATGGACCAATGGCTCTATGTGTGTTTTATCGTTGCATTTCTTGTGTTTGAACTGTTTGATTCTCTGATCTGTGTTGGCGAAATCGCTTTTTCTTCCGAGATATCTGATACTAACTACTGTTGTGATTTAGGGCTATACAAGAATACATTGAAATTATTTGAATTGAATTGAAGGCAATGTTAAAAGCCAAACTTCTTGTCTCAGATCAGAACTAATTTCTCTCTCTAATTCCAGGGCCAATCCACATGAAACAAAAAGTCAGTAGTTCACATCTTTTTTGTCAGCACATACTGTATAAGCTAAGGTCTAATAGTTTTAGTGGTCCCAATTTTCAGACATAATAGTAATAGCGAGGTTTAGATCACAAGTCGCAAGCAACAATATTTAGTTTGTGTCAAAACACCTCCATGTGATTTATGACGTAGACAAAATTTAGACAAAAATCGGAATTTCTAGCCACTATAATTCAACTGACATAACACAAACGTAGTAACTGAAAGGGAACAAAGACACTGATAACAACTTTCATGGGATCAAGGGGAAAAACTAAAATAATGTGTTTTTTGGGCATAATAAAGTTGAAAGTGAGGCAGTAGGAGAAGCGTACCGAACACATAGATGCGTCCGGAGTAGACCGTTGTGGCGTGCGCGCTGCGGCTGTCCTGCATGGGGGCCCGCGGCTCCCACACCTGCCTCGTGGTGTGGAAGCGCTCCACTGAGGCCTGCTGCAGGTGTCCGTCATATCCTCCCACTGCATACAGGTACGAGCCTACGCACTCCAACCCTACGCACATCAAGGGAAATGAATAATAGGTAATATGTTTTATGAATAATATGTTTTTATGAAATGAATAAGACAGTAATGCTTGAATGAATGAACGATGATGTGTATATTTAGTTTTGTCTTATTTTGTATTGTGAATGGTTGTCATACTGTATGTTTGAAATGTTTTAATGTGAATTGATCCTGTGTGGAGTGGACCCCAGGAAAACTAGTGACCACTTGTGAAAGCTAATGGGGATCTAGATAAATGAATACACACACGCACACACTTACACAGAACACACTTACACACACACACACACACACACACACGCACACGCACACGCACACGCACACATGGGGACATTTTACTGTCAAACTGTCTCTACTGACATTCACTTTGACATTTGGAATACAGTCTACTTATTGTCAAAAAAAATGTGCCAATCCACAATTAGCACATTTTCCACATTTAAAACATGAAACATATTTTAATGCAAAAATGATATATGATGTTGATGATATATAATCTTATGCCACTTAAAATGTGATGTCACCAGGACTCCCTTAATCTCAATGGGACTTTTCTGGTTAAATAAAGGTTAGATAAAAAAAAAACAAGGTGGGAAGGAAGCGGAAGGAGGTATTATTGATGAATGACGCAGCCTGTTGCCACTCACCCAGCCCACTGCGGATGGTGCTCATGGGGGGCAGCGGCAGCCACGCGTTGGTATCGGGCTGGTATTTCTCCGCACTGTTCCAGCGGTTCTGCCCGTCGAAGCCCCCCACCGCGTACAGGGCCCCTCCGCAGGCCGCCACCCCCGCAGCCAGTCGGGCCACCGACATGGGGCTGACGTAGCTCCAGCAGTTTGTCTCTGGGTCCCATCTGAAAACATCATAAAGATGAAGCCTACGATCTAAACCCCAACCTGGTCCATGAGCCAGACTCCCACCGGACTTTTCCAACTACACAGAATCCCACTGACTTTATTCAACACCATATCAGTAGGATAATAATATCTTGTCAGAGAAAATGTATAAAATATTTTTTAAAGAATCAGGCATATTCCACAAACTTATATTCTATATTGTGTCTTATATTACACAACGCTTTCATTCAGTAAATCAACTTTCTGTATATACAGTATGATCTTTTATATTTTGACCAGTTTATCTCTAATAATTTTTGTAATTGGACATGTTTCTGTCATGGAACATTCCAGTGAAAGCAACAGGAAGCCCCTGGAGAGGAGTAGGTGATGGACTAAGATGTCGGGCTCTCTGAGTTCTGGCCGACTGAGTCCGGTTGTATCTCGCTGATTCTCAAACCTGCTTCTGGCCTGAGTCTGGGGGATTAGCCTATTCTGCTGGCCATGTTGGTGTGGTTTTAACCAGATCAGAATGTTTAATCCCAAATGAGCTCAACTCTATACCTGTCTGCTCTCTCTCTCTCTCTCTCCACTACAACCACCAATGCTTCTTCTGCGACAACAAGCAATGCTGCTTCTGCGACTGACCGATGATTCAATATCGAACAGGAAAGTGGCTTTTACAGGCTTAGCAGCACTACATCAGTATTGGTGGGTTTACTGCATACAGTTCTATTTTCCTGTTTACCCCACAGTATAGGAACATACTTTTGACACTGTTTACCATGTCATCCTACTTGATCATCTTGAAAACTAAATATTGTAGTTATCTGATAGGTGGTGTTCCCCAAGGTTCGGTTTTAGGATCAAGTTAAGATTAAGATTAAGAGATCCTTTATTTGTCCCACAGTGGGGACATTTTGTAATTGTTCCCGTAAGGAAAGTTGTCCCCAGCATTTTACCCATCCTTTAAGTCAGGAGCAGTGGTCAGCGTAGTACAGTGTCCAGGGATGTGGGATATTTTACCTGATGTACATGTTTTTAATGGTAGGAGAAACTGGAGCAGACAAGGGGAAAAGTTGGAAACTCTTGTCAGAAAGGCCCTGATCCGACCAGGATTTGAACCCAGGATTTTGTTGCAGAGAAGCAAGAGTATAACCACTAAGCTTTTCGTGGAAATTAGTTAAAAACACATAATCACATACTCAGGCTTAAAACAAGGCCATTTCTTGTTACAGATAAACAGGAGCGTACATTGTACTATGTCTTCTTCTTTAACCTGTACAATTATGTGTGTGTCCTTTCTGCAATGACAAAGCAGGTTCCACACCAGAGGAGCAGTTTCTGCTTCAAATTCTAAATCAACACTAAACAAATTTTACATTTATTGACACATTTAAATTATATCACAACCTTATTTTGAGTTTTAATAAACATTTTAAAGATATTGTTCATTGAGCAGAGTTTGTCAAAATTGGTAATGAGTGTCGAGTATTTGTAGTAGGGGTGGGAACCTAAGGGTACCTCACGATACGATACGATACACGATACAAAGCTCACGATAACAATATTATCACAATAACGATTTTATCACGATAACGATATTATCACGATAACAATATTATCACAATAACGATTTCATCACGATATGACGATTATCGATATATTGGTCAGAAATATACAATATGCCAATTTATGGCATAAATAAAAGAAAAAATACACTTTATTTTCATGTGTAATGTAGCCATATATTAAGTATTGATACCAATTAAAAAAATAATATATATATATATTTTTTTCTTTCCGATATCAATTCTTGGCAAATGCATATCGATAATTGGATCGCGGGAGAAAGTATCGCGATATATCGTCACACCCCTAATTTGTAGTACGCAGTATTGTGACAACACTCGTTCCAACAAAATTAAAACAATACAAATGCAGAGTTTAATAGCAAAACAGATTTATCCATTTTTGAAACATTATCAAAAAGTTGTATTCCTCTCGTTTCAATCTTCAACACGTTTTATTATTGGCAATCCATTTGAGGATTTGCTCAAGAAGGTCTGAAATCTTATTTTGTTTGCACCATATTATACCTGACTTCTCACAAAACTGCTGGGTTAAGAGCTGATAGTAACCTTTTCACATATGTGTATAAGGGCACTTTAAACTGCTGTACTTTTGTTTGTCCCAGTGAGAGCTATTCAGAGTCAGAATCAGAATCATTTATTAAAGACCACACCACAAGTTGGTGGAATTGGTTTCCGGTAAAGCAGGAATGCTCATAGCTCAACTGTGCCACTGCGTATTTTCACTGAAAAAGTAGATCCATAGTAGTGACAGAGGCAAATGATACATTCTTTGGAAAACAAGTGATAGAAAAACTGTTAGGAGAAGAATAAACTAGTGACATGGTTTGAGTGATAGGTTCTCCAGCTTATACAGCAGTACAAATACAGTGGTCTCTCAATTATTGCAGGGGCTACATTCTAATAATAGCCTGCCAAAAGCAAAATCCGCAAAGTAGCAGCTCTATGTTTTAAGGCTATAAAACCCCGCACACACAATTTTCATGAACTCACGACTGAAAGTGTGGCAATATTCAAATCCAGGTTAAAAACAGTTTTATCTTCACTCTTTGTGATGTACTGGGATTATTTAACAAACTTAATTCCTCGTGTGACTCTCTCCATCTTGTTCAGCACTTTGAGTTGCCTTGTGTATGAATTGTGCCATACAAATAAACTTTCCTTGCCTTATAGCGAGAGACCAGTGTCCATGCGGCCCAGACCCCTGCCCACAGCCTCACCTCTCCACGGTGCTGTGGTGGCTGAAACCCTGGGAGCCGCCCACAGCGTAGATGCAGCCGTCCAGCACCGCCACCCCCACCCTGTTGCGGGGCGTGTTCAGGGGCTCCCGTGCGCTCCACTGGTTTGTCATGGGGTTGTAGCAGCTCAGGGCAGCGGACTCGATGTTATTGTGGAGAGACAGGTTCTTCCCACCCACCTGCGAACCCACAAGATAACAACTCAGACTTACATGTTGGGGAATGGGAAATAATAAAGTGAAATACCAACATTACATTCTGCTATTGTGTTTATGTATTATATATGAGTACAGGGACGGATAAAGAAAAACATAGACAAATGGTAGCTCAGCAATTGTTATAATGAAGAATAGGCTGAAATTGAAAGCAAGCAGTTGTAAATAACTTAATTTCATTAGAGAACTTAACAAAAACCCAATGTAGGAAATTATTTTCTGGAGGCAGGAGCAACTAGACCAGGGGTGCGGCAAGTTCTCCAGATTTTGGGCCACATTGAGATGTGTATTGTGGAACGCCAGACCCGTTTTCACCATAGACTGTAAATATTCAGTCACGCCTATCTCCGCTTTTGAAACTAATGTGCCACCACTTTTAGCTTCTATGTGAAAAGTCCACAGCAGCTAAACAACAGTGCTCCAAAAAAATACTCCCCTCAGCATTGACACACATCTGGAATGTAGCATTAGGTCAAGAGCTGTTTTCAAGAGGAAAGACGACGCAATTGGGTAATTCTTATACCGGGTCAACCCCCACCAGCTAGGAGTGAGATTGCAAGTATGTCAGCGCACGTGCTTACGGACCTTTTGAAGCCACTGGTTTTCAAACGATTACCATTTATTTGAATTTGACACATGCATCAGATATGAAATATAACAAAAATCTATTTGTTTTGTTAACATAAATATTTAAAGAAAGGGAAACATGGATCCAAGATTGTTTGGTTATAGCTCATCTTTCCATCTGTGAATGTATGAAATGTAATGTAATGTGTTTTGAGAAAATTACTATTTTATTTAATATGGGCTTGGATATTCTATTTGTTGTTATTTTTCTGAATATGACAACAAAATGAGTACAGATGTTTCAGATTTAACCAAAATAAACAATGGAGATGACTGAGGAAATAGTAGGATTACACACAAACATGTTAACATTTAGAGAAATTAAACTTTTGATGATGATAATGAAACCGTGTTTGAACCATCTGATATGTTCCACAGATCCACTTTAGTATTTCTCACAGTCGCACATGTCTCTCTGATATAAATAGCTGATATGTTGTGTGTTTGACCCACGGTGTAGACCAGGCCAAACAGCGTGCAGGCTCCGAGGCCGCTGCAGGGCTCTCCCATGTCCGCCAGCCCCATCCACTCGTTACTCCCGGGATCATAGGCCTCCAGAGTGGACAAGGACTGCTGCATGAACCTGAGCACACACACACGCACACACACACACACAAGCACGCGGTCAACATTCAACTCCTATACACAGTAGTGCACAAGTCTACACACCTAGTCAGCTATTTTGGCCATATTTCAGAAATTAGAATTGATAGTTAGTGGGTGTCTTTGCTATTATCAAATGACAATGACAACACAAACTACTCTTCTTACCCTGATTAGAATTTTTAGAGCGAACCAATTCAGTTAAAATGTGATAAAAGTGATTATGAAAAAGTTTTTACTTGGTTTTTATTTTGTATATTGTTTATTGCTTATATTGTATAACGTTTGAAATACATTCTAACTATACAATACTAAGTGTGTGGATAAAGTGAAAGCGTAGGCACTGGAGCCTACCGGACATTTTTACCCTCCAGCCACATAGATGAGCTGACTGCCCCTCAGAGGAGGAGGGGGCACCTTCCGCAGCGTCATGTCCTGGAAGATCTTGGACAGGAAGTCTTTGCACAAGTTGGCCTGCAGGAACAAGCAATAATGTCTGATGAAACGGTCCGCACGATAAATTGGATCAAGATCGTGACATGTGTGGTCGCAATTGGCAAATCGCATCGACAGCAATTTTTGTTGTTGTTGCAAAAACAAGGGTCAAAAGAAAAGGAAAAAGTAATTTGAATTTGAGAAAACGTATCTTGGTTTAAGCACATTTGAAAAGTGTTGTCTTGTTGTCGGGGAGAAACATTACGTTCTCTTTCGATATTAGTAATTTAACTGCCAACATGTGTCGCACAACTAACCAAGAATTGTGTGAGAAGAGAAACACTCATCTAACGTGAATAATTGAAAAACATTTTAACCTGAATATTTTCTTTCTACTAGAAAAAATATGAGGGTACATTTTTTACTCTGTTGAAGTTGATGCTATAATCATGCTATAAACAGCAAACTACTTCTTGTCGCATCAAAAATCCCAATCTCATTTTAGGTCAAAAATGTCCGCACTGAAGACATCTGTGCAGCTCTACGGACCAGTTTATGAATGGTGCCTGTTGTTCTGGCTGGTTGTGGTATTTACCTTGCTGAGGATGGGGCAGGACTGCAGCTGGTTCTTCAGGAACTTGGGGGGCAGGGCGTAGATGTGCATGGCGTTGAGGAGAGCGTGAAGGTACTGAGACCGGCCCTCCAAATCACTGCCCACCCAGTCAGTGCAGGCTCTGTACACCTAACACACACACACACACACACACACACACACTTGGATGGTCAGGGGTGAGCTCAACTGTTTACTATTCATCGAGTCACATTGAGACTTTTGGGGATGATTTTCAAGTCTGTTTTGCCTTTTCCACTAAAGCTTTGGAACAGTAACTGTAAATAAAAATGCTGACATAAATACTGTATCAGCAGAGATCTTGTTTACTTTTATTTTCACACATGCTCAACTGCAGCAGCACAAGTATTTAGTTTCCACAACGTAACGATAATCCAAGATCAGATAAACTAAATCTGCATGTGAAAGCCAGACACTTCACCCACATTGCAAGAAAGAGTTTAGTGTGTGTGTGTGTGTGTGTGCGTGTGTGTGTGTGTGTGTGTGTGTGTGTGTATGTGTGTGTGAGTGTGTGAATGGTTAATGGTGGTCAAAGGGGCCTATAGCACATACTGGTTGCCTCGCTTCTGTCAGTGTGCCGCAGGGTAGCTGTGGCTACAATAATAGTTGGTTTTCGGGTTCTTTGGAAAGACAAGTTAGATGTTATACCTTGTTAACGGTAATGGCGATGTGTCCTTTATCAGCTTATGTTACTTCTGGAATGGGCGTGATTGCTGTGTGTGTGTGTGTGTGTGTGTGTTGTGTTCCCACCTCAGACTCGCAGAGCACCTTGAGGCTCTCCTGGCTGATGAGTTCCAGCAGCTGACAGTGGGACAGGCTCAGGAACTCCTCCTCTTTGGTCACCTGGGCACAACCAATGATACTGACAAACCACTATAATCTTATGTGAGACTCTGCATCCCTAAAGTAAGACTCGATTTGAAGATGTTTCACTCTTTATGTTGGAAATATAAGTTGATTGACTAAAGAAGATGACAAAGTCTGGTTTCGCACGAACAAAGATGTTACAGAATGCAAGTGATAATATACAGCATGGAGGGATGAACACCGTCCAATCAGCTTTTGCCGCGATAACAGAAGCTTGGCCTTCAGAAAACCAAAACATGCTGTGGAAAAGTCCTGGCTTTTGCATATTGTTAGAATGATGAGTTAGAACTTTAACCACAGTTGCTTCAAAGTGTCATGAAATCTCTAAATGACCATAATTATCACTCAAAGCCTTTTAGTTTCATTCATAGATTCAAAACTCAAAGTGATTAAACATAAAGACTGAAGATCAATCGATTCAATAGACGTGAAATGGGATCTATTTATTGACTTTTAATAATTCAATAGTGTTTTTAAACCATAAAATCTGAGCGTCATAGTTGCACACGACACCAGCTCACAGCTCATGAGGATTACCTGGCTGAAGTGTGTGTTGATGTACTCCCGGCTCCTCTGGTGCAGCTCGGTGCAGCCGATCTCCTCAGCAAAGCGCGAGATTCCGATCACATTGGACGGCTCCAAGTGTTTGGTGAGGAAGTCACAGCAGGCTTTGGCCACGTCCTCCACCTGGTACCTGCCAAAGACATGACCACTGAGGACCCTGACACGGCCGTACAGACAGACAGCTTTACTGTTTCACAGACAGCCTTTCATAGGAGTAGAATCTGATAAAAAGGCCAGCCAGGTTTGGATTGTGTGGAATAACTTGGCAAACAACAAAAGTAATGTGTGCAATGGAACCGACAGCGTCTTTTCCAACTCACTTTATTGCATCAACTCCAACCAGTGAAATAGACTTCAAACACGGAGCAAAGTAGAAACAAAAATAGAAATTATTTTGATTCTTTTTCATAGTGAACTGGATCTGCCAGTTACACAATCAATCATGCCAGTTATGACAATGTGGATAATGTGTGGTTACCAAAGATGGCATGACGCCCTGTATTTGCTTGTAAACACTCCATTGTCACTAGCAGATCATAAAGTAACAGATCGAAAATGTCTTTGAATTGGAAAATCATATCTTAAAACTGAAATGTATACCTTTTTTTGGTCTTGTGAGGATTTACCCATTTAAAGCCAATGTGGCCGCAGGATTTTAATTTTGAAAATGTTTAGCAAAATTTTGAGAATTCAGCAGCTTGGACCGAGTATTACAGGATGAATATTTAAAAGCTGTGTCTATTTTGTTCTTTAGGGAAAATAACTATATTGACAAAAGTTTTGGTCAAGATGTTACTTTAGTTGAAGTATTGGCTTGAACTCTCTCCGGATAGTGAAGATCGCTTTCCCAAGGACCAGTATTGGACTGTTTTGGAAAAGTTCAAGTATCTGAGGCCTTGTTCACAGCGAGAGACAGATGGAGCAGGAAACATTAAGATGATCCATTATATCATCCATTCTGATTTGTCTTCAATCATACAAAAAGTGAATTATTGCAGCAAAGAAAGTTAAGAAAGCTGTCTTACCTCATGGCAGCCAGGAGCATGTGCAGCACACACCTCTCCCCCACAGTGATGCGAGCCGTGTAAGCAAAGTCGATGAGTCTTCCAACCACCTGGGGGCAGACGTCGTGCAGGGTCACCTCTGACGCCGCACACTCCCGGAAGTTACTGGTGAACATGGCTCTGAAGTATGAGCTGCAGGAGGCCAGCACCACCTTGTGCACCTTCACAACAGAGCAGGCAGGAGCGGAAGAAGAAAGTAAGCTGAGAGTATTTTCACAATTGTACACCTGAACTCAGACTATAAAAAGAAATAAATGAATTAAAGTTCCTCTGTACAGGTATTCCGCAAAGTTGACGACAGATAGAGCAATTTACCTGGATGGAACCCAAACTGGATCAACGGAAACAGTGGTGTAATATTGTAACATTGACTGAGAGCATGATGTGATATCACCCAGAACCATTGGGTTAGGGTTAGAAAAGGGTAAAAGTTAGGGTAGATCAATTTGCAACAGCGGTATTACTTGGTAGGGGTGAGCGATATGGCCTAAAATTAATATTGCGGTATAATTTAGGTCACAGACGGTAAATGGTATATATTGCGGTATAAATTGGTGTATGAATTTCAATAGGTCTAGCAGGTTCTTGTATAAAATAGTCAAGATTGTTACTTATTTATATGTTAGAATCTAATGTATATGTTTTTTTTGTTAAGTTTCAAAATCAGGTGTGTCCAGTCTCCACAAACAAAATCACCAATATTTCATCCAGTATTTAATACATTTTTAGCATATAATATTATTCCATATTAAAGAGACACCATGCTTTTGAAATGCAGATTGAACTGAAGACCCTGTGGTCAGTGGGTTGCACACTTGAGAACAGAAAAATAAGGGACACCATTTGGATGGATCTGGTTGAGCACTTTTCAGTCCTAATTTCAATCTACACAGAATCATGGAATTTCATTATCAGTTTTTAGAACTTCACTACATATAAAAAAACATATCCTTGTCAAAAACACAATTAAATAAAGTGGAACCCTTTGGCTGGTTAAGGACTTAATGCATGCTTATTAGTCATAAAAAATATCAAAAAGAAGATACTTCAGTAAAAGCTATTGTTCGTTTACAGAGCTGGTTTTGACATTTGTTGACGCTTCCTAAGCGCTTTTCTCTGCGCTTGCAGCAATTAATTTCTCTGCATTAAAACAGCGCATTGGATTTGAACAATCTATGTAAATATGCTCATTTTGGCACAATTACTTTTGTTTAACAAAGTAGCCTTCATGAGCTACTTTACCAAATTTATGCCGTGATGATGCTGCTGGCCGCGCTAGCGCTTGTCAACATTAAGTCCATGGATGTGATCTGAGCTAATGCTGCAAGGCTAATGCTAGTATAGCATTTACAGAAAATAAAACATGTTTTACCAAATTGAATTAAAAGGTAACTGAGAAAATGAGTGCAGCCCTCAATAACAATTGTAAACCACTTTGTGACTCTTTATGCTTTATGCCGCCTTTGTGAAAGGCGGCATATAAATAAAGATTACTTACTTACTTACTCATAATATGACATAATAATATACATTATGAATATCCAAATGTGGGCCCCTGGAAAATTTGCCCACCTCTGTGCAAGACTTTTAGTTCTGATCATTTATTTTTTCCACATCATGAAGACAAGTCATGATGTGGTTGTTCTTGAGAAAATGTTTACTTTTATTTTAATTTTTTTATTATTACCACCCACCATACTGGCAATAGGCTGGGAAACCAACTTTCCCAAAAATATTAAAAATCCATGTAACTCTGGCCCAGCTTTAATCTAGAGATGCACCGATCCAGCTTTTTTACTACCGATACCGATACCAGAGCTATGGGTTTCTGCCGATACCGATATTGACCGATACCGGAAATGATCATGCTAAAATGTATTTAATAATTGAACTCTTTGTTCAAGTAACTGCAAAAGCAGTGGATGAACTAAAGCGCTAAACTTTCCAGATAAAAATGGATTCAACATAAATGTGCAATAATGCAACTATAAAGAGCTGCTCAATGTTCACATTAAACATTCCAACACTGTATTATACCTTATACATTTATTGAATATAAATGTACTTATATTAACTGTGTTTGAATAAAAAAACACTTACAACAAACAAAACACGCTGCATGAAAATGTAAATAAATAATAGTACCGTAGCTTTAACTGGATTTCAGATATGTATTTGGCGACGGCATGTACCTGGGTTCCAAATGGTCTATGGGGCTGCGAGCAGGGCTGGACTGGCCATCGGGCGTACCGGGCAATGCCCGAAGGGCCGATGCCCATATTTGGGCCGGTCTGTCTGCCTCATACAAAAAACATGTTTGTGAAAAGTGTAAATCCGTTGAGAAATGTTTGAGGGGAGCGCGCGTGTCCGCGGGGCACCTGCTGTATGTACTCGAACAGGATTCCACCACCTCAGCGGCCGCAGTGTTCCCACATCCAGCGGCTCTGAGCTGGACGCAGGAACCGCTCACAACACAACACGGTGAGCGCGTAGCCGCAACGTGCCCATGTACCCAAGACCATAAACGTGCACAGGACCATGCATGTCTTTTCGTAATTTGTGCACCCAATAAATACACCGCTGCAGGAAACAGTCCGCGTCTCCCCTTTCCTCTAAATTAAAGCTCGGGTACCTAAATTTTTTTTACATTTTAAATGTTGTGAACAGATTAAACAGATTTAGAGCCAGGTAATGGCTGACATTATGCATTTCAGACGTTTTTGACCAATTCTCATCCCTGTAACAAACAATAGTATTGTCTGTGCCCACCTCCCTCACTCTGGGACATGTTTATTACTCTGTTTAATGTAGACTATTGTACTTTATTTTATTGTTGAAACTGCAGACATCCTGATCCTCTACAGTATTTGCTTCCACATACATCATGTGTCATACATCATAAAGTCAGAGCACCTATTTTCAGACTTCAAAAACCTTCGCAAAGACAGTGAAAGAAAAGGCCATTAAGGACATTCAGCTCCAGCAAACTTCAGCCTGTGACGTGATGGATATGAACAGACAGTGATGCAGGTGAACTCGGAGCCAAAAAGCAGATTTATTTACTGTATTTGTACAATTGCATGAAGGTTAAACTTAAAGCAGACTTGTCATGTGGTGCGTCATTCTCTCCAGGACACGCTGCAGTGAAAATACACATTTGATAATCATGAATGGTTTTTATGTGTCTGTAGCCTTTACTTTGTCATTTAGATATTAGGCTAATATAGCTAATGTATACAGCTAATATAGCTAATACAGCTTCAGCCCCTGTTACCTTCATATAAGCCTTATAAAACGCTTTTTTGCGGCTCCAGACAGATGTTGTTTTTAGTTTTTTTGTCAAATATGGCTCCTTGAACCTTTTGAGTTGCCTGGGCCGCTAAGAAGGAAAAAATGCCCGGGCCGTTTTTTTGTCCCAGTCCAGCCCTGGCTGCGAGCCCAAACTGATGAACTCCAACACTTTCGGGTTGTTGCTGAAAAGCTTTTTGTGACGCTGCGTCAGTGTCATCTGTGTCTCGTGGTTTTCACGTAATCTCCTTTCGATGCAAAAACTCCCCATGCTGTTTCTCGTGGTGCTTAGTCGTGTTGTATTTCGCTAGTTTACCGCCGCGTGAACGATGCTGATTCTTTCCTGCGCTCCATGCTGTGTTGTTGTTGTTGTAGAGCGCCACGAGGAAGTGACGTGTACGTGAGATCTGATAAATTACTTTTAATTAATTCATTTTATACGTATATGTACATTATGCACAATGTATTTTAAGACATTGTGCGGTACCAGGTATGTATTTAAAAAATGTATAATTTCTAAAAAAAAAAGAAAAGAAAGTGGATCGGCAGCACGGGGCCTCTCTCTACGCAGATATCCGATCCAGTATTGTTTCTGGTATCGGCGCCGATATCGATACCAGTATCGGATCGGTGCATCCCTAGTCAATACGCCTAAAACATATTCATCCATACATTCTAAACCCATGTCTTGAAATCCTGAAACCAGCTCACCTTAAAGTCAACGACGGTGTCTTTGTAGGCCACGTGCAGCACCAGGTCACACAGCGCCTCCTGTCTTCGGAACTGGTCCATTGCGCTGAGGCATTTGGAGGCGTGACTCTCCACAGTGTAGTCCAGGTACCCGGAGCCCTGCATGGAGGGCACCACGATGGCCGAGAAGTCCGGGTCCTGAGCCGGTCGCCTCCTCCTCATGCGGCAATGCATTCTGGGTAATTACTATAACGCGTAATCCAAAAGAATGTCTTTCTGATTCTCCGACGCTTTACGGGTCCATTGGACACGGCTTTGGCCAAAACTCGTTAAAGTTTGTAGCCGCCATATCATAAAAAGTGAAAGTCGAGGCAATGGTTTGTTGCATAATTAGAAAAACAGATTTTATGTTATTCCTTCTCTTCCTTACAATATATCACCGCAAGGGTTGTCAAAAGAGTGAAAAATCCAATATTAATCCAAAACTCATATGAGCAACTAAAATGTAGCCATAGATGTATGTATGTAGTACAATAAAAAGTACTATTATTGTGCAAATAAAGCTTATTGTCCAAAAAAGAGCATTTTGAAATCATCACTGTAGGATAGAAAATAAGTCAATAAATTAGTATGAAATTTCAGTGTTTTTATCCAATTATTTCTGTACAGAGCTACACAAATGCTTCTTTATTTGGTATTTTTTGGGATTGCTTTATTAGTTAGCTCAAAAACTAATTTAGCCCCAGCTGCCAGGTAGAATGAGCACGCACTGGTATACTTGAGCAGAAGCAGGTAGCAAGAGTTTTTCATCTGCACGAACAAGATCCAACATGGCGGACGGCTTCAGTTTCACTACATAGAAAGGAGGAGGAGGAAGTGTCTAGTCCCAACGCCCCAAGTCCTGCAGTTTGTCCAAAATTCAGTTTCGGTTTTCGTCCAGCGTCGATGCATGTCCTTCAGGGCCTCTGTCTGCAGTCCTTCAGTTCCTGCAAAAAAATGAAAAAAAAAAAAAAAACTTAGATTTTGTGTATTATGGATGGGTTAAATTTTGACGCACGGAAGCAAACAAAGTGACAGATGCTGAGCTGGAGCAGTGGCTAAAAACATGTCTTCATTTTGATAAGCAGGGCAGGGCTTGGTTAGTTATGTGATGGGAGACCTCTGGAAACACCAGGTGGCTGCGGCAAAAAGATAATCCAAAATATTGGTTTGTCTTTTTTTTAAAGTAGAGTTTGGTAAATTTGACTTGAACTTAAGTATGGCTGACAGCTGAAGAAATTGAAAAAAACCCCCAATAATTTTAATTACATCTTAAACCACTGTCACATACAGTAAATTACCATCTTACTACAATTACTATTACTTGTATTTGTAATTATCGTTTAATTGGATGGGACAGTGTAAGGGGAAACCGGAGTACCCAGAAGAAACCTATGCAGGCACAGGGAGAACATGCAAAGTCCACACAGAAACGTCATTGTGGTGGAATTCAAACCCAGGACCTTCTCGCTGTGAAGTACAAAAGATACCAAAACCATAGTACCTCAAATCTTTCACTTCATCTTATAAGACCTCAGAAACTAAGCAGGAAAGGGCCTGGTTAGTACTGTGATGGGAGACCTCTGGGAACACCAGGCGCCACAGAGAGGGAGCTGCGGCTATACAGTGCCAATCTGTTGCTGTGTCCTTGGGCATAAAAAAACATTTATAAAGGAATTATTTTAACCCAAGATCAATCTGACACATAGCTACATATACCCATACAGTAACTAGGTTGGTTCAAACAGCCAAAAAACTGGTGAACTTGTATCAGTTTTTAGAGTGCAAAATGTGCTTACGGAAGCAACACGGTACAGGATTTACAGCCTTGCAAAAAAAGCCAAATGGTGTTGACTCTGAATGAATGTGCAAAGTCACTGGGTTTAAACTGTGTAATGCTGTTGACTTAGCGGAGGAACATCCCCATTTTCACGGACACTTTGATATTGTTGCCGCTCCCTCAGCAGCACAACCGGTTTGGACCAATTATTTCAGCCACAATTGGCACAAAAAGTGGAACTACTCCTGCACAGTTAAAGCTGGGGTACCTAAAAATCAATATGAATGAGTCTAATAATATCTTTTCAATGCGCTGGAAAACGCTTGCAAGTCCTAAGTAGTTCTGAAACAGCTGTTGTTTTGTGTTTTACAATTTTTATTTTTATTGCTTTTTTCTACCTGAGATGTTGCTGCAGTACAGTGTTCATGGTCCAGAACAGACCAAAGAGAATTCATGATCCGAACGAACCAAGTGGATCAGTTGAAAATCCACTGGAGGAATGCTAACTTTTTGAAAAATGGTAATGAAGCCTTTAGCATTTTACTTTGGACCAGAGCAGAGAAAATGGTCCAAAACTCCACCTCAACTGCTGTGACCCGTCCTGCTCCACCCAGAGGCTACTCCCTCTCTGCTGCTGTGACCCGTCCTGCTCCACCCAGAGACCACTCCCTCTCTGCTGCTGTGACCCGTCCTGCTCCACCCAGAGACCACTCCATCTCTGCTGCTGTGACCTGAAAGCCTGTGGCTGATTACTATTATTAGCGTTTTAGAATTATAAAATTTATTTTGCTGCTACTGGACACCTGAATTTCTCCAACGGGGATCAATAAAGTATCTATCTATCTATCTAATAGCCATCTAAATAGTTCCTCGTTCTCAAAAAAGTTTGGTTCTATCACTTGTTTTCACATGCATGCATTTTTGGCCTCTGTCAAATCTTTGTGAAAAAGAGCTGTCCACCCTGATTTGAATCCTGAAGCTTCAAATAGTGACTCACAGGGCTCTAGTATGTAAAAGATAACATGTTTTCGAATGAGATGAAGCCAACCTGTTTTGTCACCAATTTGTATATTTTTAATTATGCAAGTCTACAACTTCAATAGTACATATAGACACAGAGAGTTCAATAGTGAGAACAGAAATGTATTCAGGCCATGGTGGTTATTTTTAATCTTCATTTATATAGCGCCTTTCACAGAACAGAGTCACAAAGCGCTCACTCCACACATAGCAGCGTCGTCGTCGTACAGGATGTGCATGCCAGACCTATTGTGCAAGATTTTAGTGTTCGGGTAAACCGGGGCAACTGGAGGAAACTATGCAGACACAGGGAGAACATGCAAACCCTACACAGAAAGGTCTGGCGGTGGAATTGAACCCAGAACCTTTTTGCTGTGAAACGCTAACCACTGCGCCACCGTGCCGCCCAAATTCAACATTACAAGGAATACAACATTTTGACAAATTTTCTAAGCTAAAATATCTGTTTAAAAAAAAAAAAAACTTTTTATACAAGAGGAAATTCTAACGTTAGACATGTAGATTGTTTGTGTTTCTGGTTACACTTGAATACACCGTCCTCTTGGTAACAAGCCAGTTTTTATTGTTTCACTTTGATTATAGAGTCATTAGAGAACGCAGCTGCTGACGTCAACTACCCTCGAGGAAACAAGCATGAATGAATGACTCAATGCAGAAATGATACTGCTGAAGGTAAAATAATCCCCAAATAAATATGCAATTTACTAAAGGTTGGTTGAAATGTGAAAACAACAAGGCAAGAAATGTGCCTTTCCTCCGACACAGTAATGTGTGACATTGGTGTTTGCTCAGCTGTTTTGGGAGCGTTTGGAGAAGCTGTGTTTAGTTGTGGTCAGTGTAGTGTGTCCACATGTGACTGGAGCAGAGAGCAGGGCCTTTGAGGACAGCACTACATTCTGTTCACAGGATGTCCTCATATCATCGCCGGGCGTGCACTGCTCCGCTCTGCGTATGTGCGTCTCGTGGCAGCCAAAGAAAACCAAGATGGTGGACATAAAGTCTGTCAATTGTATAAAAAGTTAAGACACAGATGTCACCTTTGATGTAATTTGAGACAAGATGTTGATGGTTCCATGTTGTAATATGTGGGTTTCAAGAGTAAAAGTTTTGTGTGAAGTTTGGTTTAAGTAGTAACTGCTTCTGTCAAACTACACTACACAACGAAGAGTTGTGTGCTTGAAAGTGGAAGTAGCACGTCAAGATAACGGACAAGTGGTTTATCCAATCACTGTCAAAAATATCGCGTTAACGCACGTTAATTAAATGTTTTCATTAATCACGTAAAAAATAAATAAACGCATTTAACGCACGTGCCAAATGACTGGCACATGCCTGAAAGGCCGATGCCCATATTTGGGCCGGTCTGTCCGCTTCATACAAAAAAAATCATTTGTGTGAAATGTAAATCCGTTGAGAAATGTTCGAGGGGGGTGCGCGTGACCTCCAGATTCCCGCTTCCAGCGGCTGTGAGCGGCAACGACAGGGCAGCGTACAGCCGTAACGTGGCCATGTACCCGAGGCCATATACACACACACAGGACCATTCTCTGCTTGTTGTGTGCGTGTCTTTGCGTGGTACGTGTGTTGAGATGATGTGGAGCAATTTTCAGCCAACTCGGTGAAATGGCCGAGGCTGGTTTGATGTTTGTGCGAGGTGTACATTTGCCATTATAGCATTGGGAGCGTTTGTCGTCGCCACGGCAACAGGGTAAAATATAAGTTGGGTCTCATTGGACAGCAAGACCAATGAAACTTGCTGTCCACGACCCCTTGCACTCACCATTGTGAAAGCAATCGGCCCTTATCCCAGTCGAGGCTCGGGCCTAATAAGAGAGAACCCCCCTCACTCAGCCAATCAGCTCTCAGCCGAAAACAGTCACTAAGTATGCAAAAGATAACATGTATTCTAATACAAAGAAGACAGAATGTTGTGGTCGGATTTCTTCATGTTTCACTTTCACAAGACACTTTCTGTCGGGAAAAACAACATGAATCATTATGAAACAAAAAGCAAATCGCAAAGACTGCAGCTAATTCAAAGCTTTGAACAAAATAAATGCTAACAGCGAGTTTAGATAAGCTTTTCACAGTTTTTTTTTTTCCCTACACTTTCAAAAGTCCAGAGATGTAAGCCAGCAGAAAAGAATAGGTCGAGTGCAATCTAAAATGCAAAACTAGAAAATGTATACATGTTCCTGGTCTCGTTTTGGATTTTGACTTATTTTTACCTTGGACTTTTATTCTATCATCCTCATTAAATCCTTTTTTTGCCTTCTTGGGTCCTTCCTTCATGTCACCACACAACAGTATGTAGAATTCTTCACACATACAGTTGTTTTTTTTGCGTAATAGGTCACAGAACTATAGGTCCAGGTCACATCCATCCATACATCCATTTTCTTCCCCTTAATCCATTTCTGGGTCGGGGGGGTTTCAGTCAGAGCTGCACCCAGTACACAGAGCACCAGCCCCTCACTGATCCTCCTGCAGGTGGTGAGTCCACAGGAGACTTGATCTTTCAGCGGGGGCTTTGGGCAAAGTGGGGTTAAGTGTCTTGCCCAAGGACACAAGGTCAGGTCCAGGTCACATGTGCTCTTCTAATCTAATCATGTGACACCTCTGCTGGTTAATGTATTACAGTAGTTGTCACTCCAGTCACTCTCCAGCATGGCTCTATAATAATAACTGGATAGGGTATCACTAGCTTATAGCTGTCCCATTGATGGGCACAGGGGGCGCCCGTAGTACTGCAGACTAAAGTCCCATAGAACTCAATGTAAACTAAACCAGCTCGACCTCAGCTGACAGAGAACCTACAGCTTTCAGAAATATCCAATTTTGAGGGGATTTAAGTGTCCCTTGTCATCCTGAAGTTTTTTTCTTCTTAAATCCTTCGGTTGTCTTTAAATCCACACTTTAAACCTGGTTCACACGAGACGATTTTAAAATTGTCGGCCGATTTTTTCTCTGTGTGAGACCTCACACATGGAGATTCCAAGATCAGACGGAAATCTCATAAAATCTTGCGAGATCAAGCGTGACTTCAGAGTAAACAATCATGGCGGACAAAGAGGATGCTGTGGCGAAAGTTTGTTTTTATCTGAGAAAAGACGTAATCAAAAGAAA